AATTGTAAAGGGTGGACGTGTAAACAGACAATACATGAGGGTGGTTATAATTATGCAAACAAGCGGGTTTTTTTTCGTAATTATACTTTAACTCAGATGTGGCCGTAATTTACCCTTTATCTAAGATTAATTGGCTAGAGTAAATATTGTGAGTCAATTAAAACTAAATAACATTAAATTAATATGAAAAATTAAATAACATCAATTAATATGAAAAATTACTTCGTATTGTAATTAACTAATTATTGATCAATTCAGTTGACCGTGTAAAAAATATATTGAAAATTTCATAGGTCTCAATAAAAGTTTAAATGTAAACTATAAAAATCCTTATACAACTACATGTTCACATTACCAATACTCTTATTTGATCTTGATATTTCGAAGATGTAATAATGGCAACCGTTAAAGATATGCAAAACAATCAAAGAAAACAACTGTTGCATAGTACAACGGGCTGCAAAATGAACAACAAACAGACCCTGAAACTCTGTATCCTAGAGGGTAGGGTGTTTGGCTAAACTTATACGATGTTAAAAGGAGCTTATAAGATGTTTTAGAGTTTATAAGCTCTTCCAAAGTGTTTGGTATTTTTTTTTTAAAAAAATCTTAATTTTTTTAAATAAGTTGTTGGAGAGCAAATAATTTTTTTTTTTTTAAAATACATCTACTCCACCTTTTTATTTAAGATCTTATAATGAGTAAAAATATGAAATAAGTTCATTATCCAAACACTCTACAAATTAATCCTAAAAATAAGATATTACAACTTATCAACTCTTAAAATATCTTATCAAACTTAAGAGTTATCAATTGTTTAAAATAACCTTAGCCAAGCACATGTGACATCAAACTAAATGAATAAGTTAAGGATATAAATAAAGAACACTTAGAGCCTGTTTGGCTAAGCTTATAAGCTCATAAAAACATCTTATAAGATGTTTAATAGCTTATAAACTGTTAAAAATATGTTTGGTAAAAAAATTAGAAAAGATATTATTTTTTCCAAAAATAAGCTGTTACGGAGCCTATAAGTTGTTTAAAAAAAAAAATACCTCCACCCCACCTTTTCTCTGTAAGATCTTATTTGTTTCATTACTAAAACATTCAAAATACAAAATTACCCTCAAATACTTTATTATAGTACATGAATACTAATAGCATTTATATTTTATCAAAACAACGTATTCTTGTAATCAATATTAATAATCAGTTAAAATATAATTATCATAATAATTGTAAAAAAAATATTCTCTAGCTATTTATATTTTATATATATATAAAAATACCCGAATATTCTTATTATCTCAATAATAAATTATATTTCTTTTATCTAAATTATATTTCTTTTCGAACCTATATTTTGTATCAATATATTAATGGGACGAAAAATTAGAACTTTCTCAAACTTGTTTCATTAAAATATTTTATTACACGTCATTTTATTTTAAAAAATAGCCAAATATCATATCAACATACATAAAAAAAAAATCATTTAGTTTCTTTAATATATAATTTTAAATTTTTATTTTTATTTGAAAAGTTAATTTGTAAATATATAATAATATTTTAGAAACAAAAGAATTTGAGTCAAATAAGTTTAATAGTTATAATGACATCATGTACTTTTTTGTCATGATAGCGATAAACAGACCTTTTATTTCCAAACACTTGAACAACTTATAAAAACTAAAAGTAACTTATAAGCTACGTATCCAAACACCTAAAAAAATAATTTTTAAAATAAGATCTAACAGCTTATCAGCTCCTAAAACATCTTATCAGATATATGAGCTTATAAGATGTTTTAAATAAGCTTAGCCAAACGGGCTCTTAGATTAAAGTGTTTCGGCCGAAGGAATTAGGCCTACGTCCACTGGGAAGGATCAATCTTTATTATTCATAAGAAATATTTATTATCAATATTTGGTATTTTATTGGCGCTTTTTTTTTTTTTTTTTTTTCACTCTAAATCCCGTATCTCAACTTAACAATTAGGTAGACTATTATACGAGAGCATATGTTTACTCACTGTACCTATATGATTAACTACGGGTTCCTTCATTAAGGGAAAAAAAAACAATTAAGTATATATTTACTCATACACATTACAAAGTTTGTAAAGAAATCAAGCAAAAAACAGTAAAACCACTACGTAGAAACTCGATATAACTTCTATACATGAACCAAGTTGGTTAAACGTTAAATACCAACCCTAATTAGGAGAGTTGGTACCTAGCATTAACCAATAGGGTAAAGGTTTGGGGTTCGAGTCCCCCCTCGCCTACTTCTCTTGTAATGGACTTGAATTTACTCAAAAAAAAAAAAAAACAAAGTTGGTTAAAAAAGTCAAAACAATCTTTGACTAAAACCGTCCAATAATTAACATTCATGATCCAATTGGAGCGTTATTAATTCATAGTTATAGGATGTGCTTATATATGAAACTGAGTTTTGCCATTTAATTCAAAGAAAAATGGGCTATTTGACAAACACCAGTCATTGAATTTTGACTTTATGATAAATCCATTTTATTAATTGATATTTTACATAAGTTCATTTGACTCAAATTATCCGAAATGCCCTGGTCATACTCTCTCTCCAAAATAACTTCTATTAAATCTCACGTTATTTCAGTTTTTTTTATTCTTTGTTTTTCCTAGAAAAAATATGGTTTTTATTTATTTATTTCAGCTTTAAAACAAATTTGTAATTTTTTTACTTAGTTTTTTATTTGTTCCACCAAATTTAAAAAATACGGTTTTTAACGTCCAATTTTTTAATTTTATTTTATTTTCAATTTTTTTTCCACCAGGGTTACGAAAATTAACATCCGCTGTATACTCATCGGAAACTAGTATAAATTTATCGACCACCACTGTAAAATTATCGTACAACTCACTGTAAAATTAACGTAATCCACTTTAGTATTAACATAATCCACAACAAACTTATCGAAATCCACAAAAAAACATATGTAATCCACTACTAACACAACTCAAAAACTAACAAAAAAAACGTAAATTCAATATTCGAAAATCCACTATTTGAAACGTAAACCACTACTATGTTCAGGAAAAAAATGAAAGACGAGTACACCACAACTAACAAGGGTGACGAGGGTCACTAAATCAATCTGAACAAGAAAAAAAATAATTTGCAAATGAAAACCAATTTCCAAGAGAAAACCTTAGTGTCACACCATCGTTGGTGGAAAAAAAATCCGGGAAGCTTTCATAAATAAATTCTTTCCAGCCTACTAATATTGCATAAATCTGTTGAAACGAAAAATAAATGAGGGAACAACAATGAAAATCACTGTATAAAC